AAAATATAAGTGGACATATCAACTGCGCTTTAAATTTTAATAAAAAAAACTCAGCTGAAATACCATCAGGCCTCTGATTCTGGATTGATTTCAGATAATATAGTAAACCTTATTACTGAATATTTTATGTATAATTAGTGTATATTTAATGAATACCTACCATAATAATAAAACATATACCAACTAACTAATATGATTAGAAACTTTGAAAATTAGAAATAAAACATTTATTTAAGGTTTAGATCTTGTATAGCCGTGTCATAAAGTCTCGATTAAAAAGGTATTTTCTATTTTGAAAATCGTAAGACACATATCTAATGTACATTTATTGTATATTTTCGTTGTTGATTAAACCATAATATACATAGTTAATTTTTTTCAAATGTAGGTACCTACTTATGGCGGCAGTTACCCAATAGTCGAAATTGGATAAATGTAATTTAATAGAAAATTTAAAAAAAAAATAGATAATTGATAAAAATGCAGAAAAAAAATCACATTATTATATACTTTAAAAGTATCTAAATAACTTACTTTAAACAAACATAATATACTTAAATGTAATATAAATTGGTTATAGTTTTCAATATATTAAACAAAGTCAATAATGATTAGGTGAATAATATAAGCTAATACTTTTTTGCAGATCTGTCATCTTTATATTATACTTTTGCTTTTTACTTGCATAATTTCTGCAGTACCATTTACATATTTAGTACCTACTTTCTTAGAGAGCATTTAAGTTTGAGCCCTAATCAAAATAAAGTATACGATTTCTTCGCAGTCACTGATCGCGATGTATATACTATGATACGCGTCGATGTTAAAACGGTTTTATAGGCCCATATAGAGAAACCTATAGTGTCCTATACCTACATTATTATTATATACGAGTTTCGTGCAGGCGCAGACATCGGAAAAGTGAATAAAAACATCAATATCTATACACCGATCTAAAAAAAAAAGTTTTTATTAACGTCGTTAATATCGGCTCGGCTACTATGAAAATAAAAAATAAAAATCCACAATAAATGTTTTACTCGCGGGAGACGACTGCAGCAAAACAGTAGCGCGTAATCCGCCACACTAACGTGTGCGTTCCATTCCATTCATTATAATAATATTATATATTTGATACTAATCTGTGATGTGCGGTATACTTGTAGTATACTAGTCGTTCTTTATAGGTATATATCGGAGTCTTGACTTTTAAATAACTGTTGTATTATTTTGTAGTGTTGAATATGGGCACTGTTCGAAGTGCACCGAAATAAGTGTATGTAGGGGGAGCGGATGACACTAATCCGAAGTTACAGTTTTCATAAACTCCAATACAGTTGTCATCATCGGTGTTGTCCTGTTGTTTGTTATCCATCTCACTCATCTCAGTGATTAGTGACTAGTGCGATTATCTATATAATACACTATTGCAGACATTATGCAATTATTATATTATTAAGTTTAACGACTAAACTTTTGGTGAAACTATACTATATTATGCGTCCTTAACCTTTTTTATAACGCCAAATCACATCATAATTACACGGTTCATCGCATTTTGCATAGAGACAATAAGTACCTAAAATATTAATTCATTCATATTTATTGGCTTGACGTGACATCCGACATCAAACTTAAATCGCTGAAATCCCCACGACGAACGCCGGCCGAAGACGGTTTAGAAAAGTGTTTATTGTTATAGTATATTACACGAAACACATTTTTTTGAACGAGAAAAAGCTGGTCGAACCGGTTATCTCGGTCGGTTCAACCGTCGTCGAAATGTGCGTTCATTCATTCTTTATATTTTCGTCGTACCTACATTAAAAGTTATTACACTTAACGCGGAGAGATAAACACATGTATATTATGCGTAATATAAATATGTGAACATTTATGTTATGTGAGTCGGACGATAATAATATGGTCTATACTGTATCTGTGTGTGTGTGTGTGTACGTGTGCGCGCGAGACCGTTTTTGATTCATAATAATTGGACGGTGGCGACTGGTCGCGATGACGCGGGTCGTAAAATCGAATTCAACTGTGAAATTTTTTATAAGCCGTAGTGGAAATCATAATATATGCGTCTTTACTCATACAATACGTTTTCGTTTATTACCGACGGATATCACTTCGCTCGCGTCGTATAATATGTAAAATATCATTTTTCTTCTTCTATTCTCAAACTCAAAAATAATAATATAAACGATCACCGATTATAACTATAATTAACTATATAGCACGCAAATAATACGTATCTAAATGCCTAGGTGTCTAGATCGTCTTATTACACAATATTCGAAATCGCACAATAGTACTGCATCGACCATAACAATGAACAAATATTATTATATTCGATACGAAAATCGATTTACCTACCTATATAATATAAGTATGCAAATTGCAAAGTATATTATAATTTATAATTGCTAATAAAAATTTATTTTAAAACTCCGTAGACCAATAAAATGCATTAAACAGCTTATTTGTAATAAATTTGTGTTAATTGTTTTTTATTAAATTACAAAAACCATTAGGTTAGTATCTTTAGACACTAATACACTATACATATACAATATTATATTAATATTAACATTATATTATGATGTAGCCGATGTAGGTATAGTACGTTTTCGAAATCAGTGTAAAATAAATTAAATTAAATAAATATATGACTTAAGAATATAATTAGTACAAGAAAACAATCAATTCGAAAAGTGTATGGTTCAAATATTTTCAAAATTATGGTCAACATAATAACATAATATTTAAAACAATATATAGGTGGGTACCTACCTATATAGAGTACCTACATTTTAATTGAAAATCAACAGCTACATAAATAACTGAAAATTATGTTTGTTTTTTGTAAATAATATAAAGAATATATACGTAAGTACCTATTTATATTATAATATAATATTTATAGTTAAAATCCAGCTGTTTTTTTTTGACAATGCAGTACTGCAAATGTGTATAATGCTGTATATATAAGTTAAACTACGAAATTATACGAGTTCCTTATACCATAAGAACTCGTTTATTAAATAAGCGAGGTAAATAATATATTTTAATAGTTTTAAAATTTACATACAACTATATTCATTCGAAAAAAAAACTATAAAAAAAAATTGCTTAGGAAATTGACTATATGCAGTACACTTTACATAAATTAAAACAAAAGAAATAAAGAGTATAAATATGACTTTTAATCGTTACTACGGCTATATAATATATATACAATAGTATTCGTACCTATATATATATATATATATAATATTATACATCTACCTATGGGGGGCTATGGTATCTACTATCTACCTATATGGCTATAATAATATATGCAAAGTATATCTTATATAGTTATATATTATGTGTATATTAATATACAAAATATGTACTTGTTATATACAAGTACACATTACACTATACAATATGTAGAAGATAAAGTATATAGGAAACACAAAATTGGTCAACCAGATGACCTTGGATATAGAATTTGGGTTTATTGCAATAGGGGATACCGCTAAATCGGAAATACACACATAGTATATGCGGTATCTAATAACTAATAATAATTTTATTGATGCACTCATGTGCTTAGAATTTAGAACAATGATAGTCGTCTGTTGTCTGTATAAGTTTAAATCACTTTAAAAATTAGATTTTTACCAAATTCAGGTAATCACAGTTTTTTTTTATAAGCATTTAAAGTTCAAAAATTGGCAAAATATGGAAAAATCACGAATATTAACAAATTATTTTGAATTAAGAATTCGTAAAAATTTTTCTTTTTAAATCTAAGATTTTAAAATTGAATCAAGATTCCTTAGAAGATTATCTACCTTTATCAACAAAAAAAATGTCTATAAGAAAGTCAAATTAAATTTTTATGAGCGTTTGAAATTCAAATTTTTACAACATTGGATATTCACTCGATTTCTCATGTAGCGATTTCCTTTTATTTTGTTGTAATTCAAAAACGAATAACTGTAGATACATGAAAATTTCACTGAATGCTTATATTAGCATTTCCTATACACTATACTATTTTGAAAATATTTTTACTCTTTTTGAGCTGTTTACGGACATTTTCAGTTTTCAATTTTTTTAGTTTTTTTTTATTATAAATATCAATAAAGTAGGTAATATAAGTGGCTATATAAGAGTAGGGCCAAAAAGTGTAAACATTTAATACAAGGCTCCTGATATATTGTTATAGTCATTTTAAGTTCAACTTTGGACGAAATTACATAAAAAAAAACCTAGAATAACTATTTAAGTTATTTTGTTGTGATTGCAGTATAATATTATTCGTGGGTACTTGAAACTTCTAAAGTACACTATTATATATCTATGGACTATGATAGTATCAGGGATTGTTGTTTATGTATAACAATAACGCATTATCAGAAATGGATATTGTGATATTATTAATTTGGAATTTATAATAGGTACCTATCCTAGGTAAATTTTTTTTAATAGGTACCATAGATAAGTACATAAATATGTCTTATACCTAGACTGACATATACCGTCTCCGCTCAGAATAGTTTTTTTTATACAATGGTATTATATCATTGAATTCAAATTTAATACCATCCATTATACAGTGACCCACTTGTAACCTACTGTACAGCAGAGTACCTTTTTTTCTTTAAATTCCTTATATTTCATAAGATATTCTTTGGCCCATGACATTGGAACCTGAGAGTATAATGATAAAATTTACTTGGTTGGAAACTGCAGGAGAGGCAGACTGCAGACGTGAGACGACGCTTTACGAAAAGAAAAATACGTTTTTTCCTGCAGCATGTGAGAAAATATTATATTATGTGCGGTTGCCACTGTCGCGTTTCGACAACGATAAAAATATAATAATACAATAATATAATAATATATATATATACTTCTATGAGGGGGGAAAGCGACTACTCGCACATGTGAGAAGCGTTTTGCCCCTTTCACGGGTCCGCTCCTCTCCGACACTCTCTCTCTCACTCTATCGAGCTCGCTCGTCCTGTCCTCTCGGTAGCAGCCGCAGCAGTGTCACGGTACGTTGGTCCGGGTGACAGGTCGCCGCCACCACGTCCTTCCTTCCTCCCCGTCCAATCGTCGCGCCACTGCCGCCGACGACCAAACAGTTGCCTTTTCACCGGCAACAAATTATCGTTGTTTTCACACCGGTCCTCTTCGACCGTACTTTTTTTTCCGCTTTTTGTCTCTACCCTCCTTTTCATTTCTTTTTTCTCTACACACACACACACACGCTCAATTTATCCCACCATTTAAACAATATGGCCGTCATTGTCTTCGCCGTTGCTCAAGGACGACGCCCATCATATGCTCGTCACACTTTATAAATACATATTGATATTATTATATAGGTAGTATAGTTTATTATTATTGTAACATATTATATTATTATTATATGCCAAACCGGAACCGCGCGTGTACTTAACGTAAATTATCGGTATAAGTATAGGTACCACCGTTTTACAGGCTGTGTAAGTCTAAAGCATTTGATGATTTAAGTTACACCTACTTATAACAAATTAAATGAGTAATTTTGTTCATATCTTCCAGACTATACTGCACATTGCACACACAGTATACTATAAGTCTTAATAAAAAAAATAGCAACGCGTATGATATTCCTAGTTATATATTATCTGCCCGTATATAGAAATATTTGCTTGGACGAAATAATATTTTAAATATTACGAACGTGTAGGTAATCCATAAAACCAAAATACGATGAATACCTTTAATAGTATATAATGTACGTGACGCATTTAGCATACAATACAATTATATACCTTAACATATAGTATAGTAAATATACCAATCCAAATGTTTCCTATAGGGATTAGGGGTAAAATTACTAACAATCAATAAATTTATGTGGTTAGGCATTATATGATAGATTAAATAGGATTTAAAAATGTTACGATAAGTTATTGACCTGATACCAAATATCCGGTATACATACATTTTTTCTATGACTTATTGTGCTGTAATGTCATTCCTGAATGATCTTTCTGTGTTTGAATTTTGAGTATGATGGTTAGGTTCAAAATCAAAACGTATGAAATTGTTTAAATATATAAAGTCATGTAATATTAGTATACCAAGATTATTTAATTAAGCAACGAGATCTATAAGAATACATCAATCATTTATCAAAGATTATAATTGATAAACTTAATTTACTTTCATTTTTTTATATTCATATTAACACTGACATAGATGATTAGTTTTATACTTAATATACTTAATATTATATTATCATTGAATAGTTATATTATAATAATATAGAAAAAAAACAACTGATTTCAGTGAACCGTAATAATCTTGTTTAGGATTTGTCATGAGTTGAAAAATGTGTTGGACAGATTTAGTTAAATCATTTAATTTAATTTTTCAAGTACCTATATGGATATAGTTAATATAATAAATTTACTATACCATTAAAGCTGTAGTAATATAATGCAGTTATTATCTGAATTAAAATAATTTATTAAATACTTAAATCTAATCTAGAAAGTTTTGTAATGACCATAACTACCATTAAATACCTATACAATAAATAAACTACAAAGTACGGTATGCAGGATTGACGTATGACTACTAAGTAAATTTCGTTACAAAATGTACTCGATAATAGTTGTTGTATTATACCTATTCAGGGTATAACTGAAAGACCTGACAAATGGAATAAATTTTGTTCTAAACAATATTGAACATTTTTTTTATAGTCGACAGCGCATCGTCATAATTTTTTGTTTTTATTTTATAATTCTAAAAATAAAAAATTTATACATTTTAATACATTTTTTAAATGTAATTAAATAACTAATTTGTAAATCTAATTAAAATAAATTATTTATATATTAAAAACATTTATTTAAGTCAACCCGTTTATTTTTTACAATTACTTAAAATATCAATATTTTTTAAGAGTAGGTAAATTAATTTGAATCTTAATAAATTGTATCAAAATATTATTGTTGGAATTTTCAGTGCTAATAAGTAAATCTTAAATCATTTATTTTCCAAAAAACTTTCAAAATGTTTTTTTTTCATACGTTTATCTTGTACCGATTTTTCATTTGTCATGCCATCTTCTTGTTACACCCTATATACCTACCTAACCTTAATGTAGTCAATCGTAAAAAGGAGCTGGTACATTGATTTTATGGTTTATAATAGTTTCCTACTTTCATATGGGTAGTAAAATATTATGTTAGATTAGGCTATGACGCCTAAACTATTAATTAGTTTGTAAAAATGACTTGCCAACCATCGATACTCGCATATTATACATACAACTTTAGCTTAAGTACATCAGATATAAGGTATACATGTATGCATATAACATACTGACTCGTGTATGTTAGCACGTAGGTATATAACTGTTAAAAGCATAAGGGTAATATTATAATGGTATTTGGTTAAACAGTGACTTAACGTCGTGCGGCCAGTGGGTAGGTAGGTACCTACACTCGAAATGTGTGAAACTGCCCCCAAGTGCATACATCGGGACACCCCTCGCGTCATTGCACACACACGCACACATACATAGTGAACATAGTGATATTTCATAATAGAATAATAATATGCATTGACCTCGTCGTTGTGTAGACACGCCAAAACCGCGTACAATATTATGTACGGGACTACATACATTTATTCTACGAGTCATCCGAACAACGGTTCGGTTTAGGTATAACGCACGTTGCGGATTTTATTAAATTACAAAGTGTGTCGGACAAAACGTACAATATACGACGCGTATATAATATAATATTATATATATTATAAACTCACCCCGATAATAATATTAAGCACGCGGGCGCGGCGCTCGGCACTCGAGAGGGTGTGTGTTTTGGCAAACGATTGTTGTGCGTATAATATAATAATAATGTGTAATTTTTTTTTTGCCTCTTTCTAGCCGCGACTCTTACAATGATAATAATAATATATACACGTGTGTACGTATTATGCGTGTATATATACATATATATAATATGCGCATGTACAAACCGCAGACTATTACCGTTGCATCATCATTGTGCGAGTCTCGTATGGGCGGAATAGGGGGCGTGCGCATTGTGTCTTGCACCGCTATATACACACGCGCGCGAGCTGTATATTACATTATGCCAGCGTACTTCGACGAGGCGGCGAGTGCATTAAAAACGTATAATATTGTACAAAAATACGATTCGGACATCAGCTGCGGGAGGGCGCCGGGACGAGTGGCTTTTTGACTTTTTTTTTTTATTTGGGAAAAAAATTTACGTATAATATTATATATACATATATTGTGTTATTGTACATAATAATATACAGCATACCGAGAATTCGGGGGCGCGCGTCTGTCCATACGAACCGCATTATCGTATTATGTATAATATGTACAAAGGACGTTACAAATACGCGTGACAATGGACCGCAGCGATCGGTTAAGACCCGAAAACATGTACAATAATATAATATACATGATGGGCACAGGGACCGCTGCTGACTCGCGGACTCCATGTCGTCGTCGTCGTAGTTTTTGTGTTTATTCGATTATTATTTTTTTTGCCATACAAATTGTACACACTACACACACACACACACACACACACACATATAAACATATTATATAGGTACCTAACCTATATATATTTAATATTATTATAATATACCTCCTATAATGCTGACGCGAGCAGATGGCGAGACGTTGTTCCGGCGTTTATACTTAAACATATATTGCTGCAGTATATAAATATATAATATGTATATATTCACGCAAGCCGTATATTCTATTATGTTATATATTATTACAAACACACGCACATATTATATAGGTATATATCGCGGGTACAATATAATATCGTGGTCTTTCGACATGTAATAATATAATATATGGGTATATACGCGATCAAAGTCAAAGACGCGGAATAATTACGAGCTAACCGCTTTAATGCGACGGCGGCGGCGGCGGCGGCGGCGGTCTCTCTGGGGGAGGGCGGCGATGACATATCCGAATGAATTATTATAGACATCCCGAGATTTCTATACCTCTATATACATGTGTATATATATATTATAATGTATATTATCGTGTACGTACGCTCTACATGCACGATTATATATATACGTTTTGTGTGTGTGTGCGCTTATATACCGATAGTATAATATGAACTTATTGTATATTATTATTATTATACAATCGTGGGATTCGTTTTATAGTCCTCATGTTATATTATTATAGAAGACTAACGAATTACACGTAAACACGTTGTATAACAATCGATTAAATTGAAAAAATAATAAAATAGTAAAGTACCGTAATATTACAACACGTAGGTATAATAATATATAGGTACATACGTCTGCAGATCACAACAGTGCGATGACGGTGATGACTGATGACCTGCATCGTATACTCTGTGCTGATTCGCAAATCGCAAATTTCGACAAACAATCGTATATAATATATGAATGTAAACGAAAACATAGTATTAGCAAAACGTATAATACCCACTCAGTGCAGGCGCAGACTATTATTCTGTCGGGGGCGTCGAGTATCTTTTTTTAACTACACACCACACCATATAAACTTACTAAAAAAATGTCTTTCCTTTTTTGCCTACTACTTTGCTTAAATATAGAACATAATGATATAAGCCTACTACCGGTCCAGGCCAATTATATAAGTTAACTTATACGCCACCACCGACCCTTATTTCACATTGGAGAGTTAGCTAATACCCCTGTATTCCTACTTTAGTATACACTGTAGGTGCGTACATGGTTAATATAGAGACTTGATGAAAGTTTTTCAGTGACCGCTATTTTTACCCTCTACCTAATAGAGGTTACCATTCTATGAAACTTACATCAACGTATTTAAAAGTTCATAAAAAAAAAAAATAATAATATCCGTATTATACGTTTATAAGAAATGTTGTCTCCTTTATTTTCAAGCACGTGTTTTAATTATCCGCTGTCGAAGCAATTATACTTATAATTTTCCATTAACTATAGTTTTTAAAAATATTAAAAAAGCACCAAAATTAACCACTGCTGTTAATTTAAATATACAACAATTTGTATTACAATTTACAGTTAATTAATTATTACTTTTAATATGATTATTATTGTAAATTATATATAATCATCTATTAGTTTTAATTTCCGCCTGAACTAACAATAAGATAATGTATAATTATATTTTTACTATTTTAGGAGTCTTAAAAAGTCGTAAAGTGTACACACATATATTGAAGTATGTAGATTTTAGAAATATGTATAGAAAACCATAAAGGTATATAATTATATAAATATGTATAGGTACTACATCGTATGACATAGGCCTTACAAGCATATTATATTATACTTATTATACGTGTGTATACATTATAATAATTTATTTATTTTTACATTGAGGACAGTATAAACCGTCCATGTAACGGTAAAAATATACCGGTGCAGTTTGCGCGTACCTTGACGTATTGGACGAATTCGTACTTTTCACGAAAGTGTAAACTTTTGTTCTCGCATAAAGTATCTTCCGCTAAATGTCTTGACTTGTCTGCAGTTTTCTCCTGCAATCATAATTAAGTTATTGACGTCTCGTATATAACATATACATGGTGTGTGTGTGTGTACAGTGTCCAGCATTTAGGGAACATGTTATTATTTATTATCTATATTATTATAATGCAAAATATCAATGATATCAATAATCGGGTAGACAAATATAGTATAATGTATAGAAAACGCACGCCCATTGAATTTTCGTGGACATTATATATTTTAATATTTATACATACGGTGTGTCCACATAAACAGGGTAGGTACACAGAAAAAGTGAAGTTGTTGCTCACGCAAGCCCGGATTAAGGATCAATTGGGCCCCGGGACACCATACACTCAGTGGGCCCCCTTTCAACCTTGACTTCAAAATAATTGTATCATTAAATATTAACGACTTTATATTATTGTATAGTTGTTAACTACACAAAAAATATACAGGATGTATCTTATGTAATTGTACGTGTTTTTTTTTTAACAGTTATGGATAGATGCATGGATTTCGTTAAAACAAAAAGACGTGTTTCTTTATTTTTATAACATTTACAAAATATTTAAACACGCAGTTGTACCAATAATACAATCGACTTTATTTTTTTAAATGGTAACCACTTATTTTTTTATGGATTCTGGTAAAGCTTTTTTTCTGAACATTTTGACAGTCAAATGATCAATTTTGGTTAGCTAGGTTATTAATTATGGTCCTCTAAAGTTTAGTATAATATGAATTAATACTTTTAACTGAAATACCTAATTTACAAGAGCTAAATAATTTTTCTTATAATTAGCTTTTTGTATACTTAAATAGTTAAATCAGTAATCTAAAATGCCCAAAAAAAAAACATAAATAAAATTGTTTGCAAACGTCGTTCATTGTTTATATTAATTGTTCGTGATTTAAAATTGAGAACAATTTTATTTTATAATTATTAATAATTTACCTACCTACTTAAATAATAATTTTTTTTAAAACTGTATTGGAAGCATTAAAAAAAAAAAAATTTGGGGATAAATATGGGCCCCATAAAGTCAATGGGCCCCACAAAGTCAATGGGCCCCGGGACCCTGCCCCCCCCTTGTGCTCACTCGCAAAATACTACAAGAGTTTAAGACAAGGGAATTTATTATCCAATAATTTGGTCTCATGTCCCAGAAGCAGAATTTAAAAATATTTATAGGGTACGTAGTAATAATATAATAAGTAACTGAGTTATAGAGTGCACCCTGTTTTTGTGGACACGTGGTATATACATCACCCACGGCGGCCCACGTAATGCATATTATTATATAATAACCACCGTTATTTTTATCTAAAATAGAAAACCGTTATTATAACATAATAACTAAAAAGCGCGACTATCAGTGGCGTATATAGGGGGTGGGCATAGTGGGCTGCGAGCGTGCGCATGTATATAAACAATAAAGTGCTTATACTTGTTTACATTTGAAGTCGCGCCACCGTAAATTTTTAACGACTCTGCCATAGCAGTTTTCAGCGAGACCCTTAGCTCCTCTATACGTAGAAATTATAATAATATATACTATGTTATGTGTTTTGCCCGAACAAGGAAAACATCAAAATATGTGGACCATTCATATTAATAGCTAACGAACGATTAACATCTTTAGATCTGTCGAGTCGTCGACTGTCAAGACCAAACACATATTGACTGTACACGCATTATCAAGAGTCATTTTTCGCACCTTTCACTGCGGCTAAATCGATTTATCAAAACTTTCCATCGCTATTTACGAATTTAGTCAAAACCTTTTTTAAGCGTATAGATATTATATGCATTTTTCCATATTCTCATACGCCATGTTCGCCATCCCACATTCTCACTTGGATTGTATAGTATTTATATAACATATGATAATGCTAACCGTTAGCTGTTAGCATAATATTGAAAGCGTTGTCTATATGCAATGAGAAAAAAATTTAAATACTGGTATATTAACAAAAAAATATTTTAGGCCTGGGTACAGATATTTTGATTTTCTGACTAACGGATTTTGCGTAACGTTTTCGCTGTCATGGTTCCTTATTAAAAAATATACATACTTATTTTTGATTCATAAATTTCTTTTGAAGGTAAAAAAAATATCGAGTAGAGTGCTACGTTTCTTACCACCCGCATTCTTTTTATGTCGGGTCAAGTTAGTTGTTTGAATAGTAGGTATTTAAAAATTTAAAATTTTATAGATATGATCAATTATAATTTTTTTTTTAGTTCCATATTTAACATATAATAATATATATACTGTATAGGTATCATAATAATATGTAGGTACACTGCAGAGTAGGTAGTAGGCATGTTTAGAATAGAAAAATAATTATTAGAAACTCGCTCAAAATTGTACTACGTGCACTGTGCAGTCTACTTTTATTAACAGTTCGATATTAAACGAGTAGGTTGTACGCCTATATATATGTATGCGTTTTAAAAACATATAATAATATTGTAATAGACGCATTGAATATTATATACATTTCAAAACAAAACACAGATACCCTGCCATATAATAATATATAATCATTGGGATATTTACGATTATGCAAAAATATATTCACTAAACGTCTCATTTAATTAAGAGATGTTGGGTATATATAATATTTAGGTAGGTAAAAAATAAAAATAAATGTCTTCAATATTAAAATTAATGAGGCGAAAAATCATAAACTAGGTGCAAAACACTGCTCATATACATAAACACTTCAATATAATCGAAACATTTAAATTTAATGTGTTGGATATATTTTTTTTTATCGCTGTTAAAATGGTGCCCATTAAACGTTTTACTGCTACCGGTACTACTACTGTTTTACTTTGGTTGTTATACGACGCGAGCATATCATAATATATATACGTGTTCACTATATGTGCGTGTAATAAATATATATATATATACATATATGTGTGTAATGAGTTTTTATTTTCTCATATATTTTCAGATTTGCCAAGCTGCAGCACAGGCGGGGCCCTGAAAGTCGACATAATCGTTTTCGTCGCTGACGTATAATATTATAATACAATATGTATAATACCTATAAACACCGCAACACGACCAGACGTGACGGCCAGCCAACCGTCGCATTGTTACCGCTGCATCCACGACAGTATTTACGGATTTTCGCACGTAATTTGTCCTATATTATTATTATTATTATAATATACGTTTCGAGATGCGCCGGTGCAGACGCGCATTGTAATAGTAATCTGGGGTTTTTGAATGAGTAAGCGCATAATATATTATAATAGTGCATGTTATAATATTTTATGTTTTATAATATTGTTATAACGTTTGACCGGGTCGAGTATACCGGAATACGGTAGTGAGTATAATATTGTTCAGGATTAAATTCAATTATATAAATAACGTGATGGAACGACTCACGAGTGCGGTCGAGCTGTGTGAACGGGGCGAGTAGTGGTGAGGGGAGGGTGGTGGAGAGTTGGAGACTCACTAAAATGCTTATTTCGCGTAAACAGGAAATTATGAAAAAAAAGAGGTGGAAAAAAAATAATAAATAAAATCGTCGTCGGCAACATGTGATAGCACAAAAGCAGAGGATGTGGGCAATATTTCGTCGGGGACTTGCAGTGGACAACCGGTACCATATATTCCGAACGCAGCATGACTTATTAGCGTACTTTGAATATTTTTAAATATACAATTTTTATTACACTTATTTTTTCCCTCCTTCCGAACACACCGGGCCGGGCCTGGCGCGTTACAGACGCAGTTTAAAAGCCGCAAAGAAACGGCGGCCGCGGGCGAGAAGGTGACATCGATAAATAAAATCTACACCGGTTCGCCCAGTAAATAATATTAATAACGTCGCGGACGCCCGGGTGAATTGGACCGGGCACATTATACGTATATACAGGGTGTTCAAACGAGACTAGTTCGCACGCAGTTCACACTGAAGTGGAATATTAAAAATTTAAATAAAAATACCACAGGTACTCCTGCGACCATTCTAACCCGTGAAAAATGCCCAAACAAATATTTCCACATAACGCAAATTTTCGATTAATTAGTTACTTTTGCAGTCTCGCAATAGTCTTGCAATATTATTTGAACCCATCATGTTATATAAGACTTATATAAAATATTTAAAATACATTTTCATTACGAGATAGTATAGATTATTTAAATATTAAACATAATTTTAGGGAAGTGATCCCTATAGGCAACATACCTGCAGCTCTACAGAAAAATGCATTACCTAATGACATTACGAATTTCCTTAAGCAACAAAAATGCTCTCGAACAATAAAAGAAAATTAAAAAAAAGTGAAAAAATACTAGACGTTCGAAAAATCTTGATGTCCACTGCAACACATATACGAACGGATCGACTCGCAACTATAATAATATTACACACTAAAAGACAATAGTCAATAATAGTAATACCTATCAATGTTGTAAGGACATTTAACATTTTTTCATAGTGGTATCATTGTACTCATTTGGTGTAATCATAATATGTATGGGTATCTACTTTTTTACTCGAAAAATTACGATTATTTCAGTTTAAACCGGGTTCTTACGACTGGTGCACTCGCCAAGTGCACCAATAATCAAATGGGCGAATAATTTTCGTATAGTACTCTTAAAATGTGTAGACTGAAATATTTGTCAAGTATATTGTTATAAGTATACGATTTTCCTTTCCGTTGAACTTTGATGCATTAACCGACAAATCTCGGAAAGCGCACGAGTGAAAAATAATTGTAGGTACAAGTCAACCGTTTCTACGGTATAGAGGGTTAGTATAATTATTTCGTGCACAAAATTACATACATGTGCAGGTATATATTATAGCTAGCTAACGCACTTTGTGGTCGTTGTCTGTTTTTTAAACATGTACTGACCATATTATGTTATATAGATACGCCTTTATCGACCGATGGACTAGACAAATTGTTAAAATTCCTTTATGGTTATAATAACAGATGCTAAAAATTAAAAACAATAAAATAATATGTAATAATATGGGGAAATGA